TTGACTGCACATCATGCAAACCATCCATGTCGCCTCTTGAACCTACAGTGAAGTTCAAAGCAAATGAAGGAGCTTTACTAAAAGATCCCACATTCTACAGAAAATTGGTGGGAAAGTTAAACTTCTTGACTAATACCAGGTTGGACATAACTTTCAGTGTTCAACACCTTAGTCAGTTTCTTCAATCTCCTAGAGAACCACATCTTAAAGCTGCTTACCATGTCCTGAGGTATCTCATGAATGATCCTTGTTTGGGAGTATTCTTGTCCAATAGCACTGACTGCACTATCACTGCCTATTGCGACTCAGATTGGGCTGCATGTCCTGATTCTAGAAGATCAGTGAGTGGTTATATTGTGTTAATGGGAGACAGTCCCATTTGTTGGAAATCCAAGAAGCAAGCAACAATCTCCTTGTCCTCAGCAGAAGCAGAGTACAGAGCCATTAGAAAAGTGGTGGGAGAATTGGTCTGGCTGGAAAAGTTGCTAACTGAGTTGCATTCACCATGTAATTTACCTGTTCCTGTATTTTGCGATAGCCAAGCAGCTGTTCATATTGCAAAGAATCCTGTGTTTCATGAAAGAACGAAACACATAGAGGTTGATTGTCATTTTGTCAGAGAAAAGCTACAGGAAGGACTTATTGTACTTCATCATATTCCAACTGATGAACAATTAGCTGATGTTTTAACCAAACCTCTGCCAAGCTCTAAACATTCCATCCTACTGCACAAGTTAGCTGTGAGCTACTCACCTCCAACTTGACGGGGGCTGTTAAGATGCAGATTAGTTAGTTTTAATTTAGAGCAAGTTGGTTTAGCTGGCAGATTAGGTACAAGTTAGTTACGAGTTGGTTATTTTGTTATAGAGTTAGTTAGTTTTGTTATTAAACTTAGTTAGCTTATTTTTACAGCATTTGCTTGTGATTAGAAAGATATACACTTGTATAAATTGTAATTCACAGATGAGATAATACAAGTTTTTCCATTCTCTCATTCACTCTTGATTAGCTTCAAAACTCTGTTTCTCTCTTCCACTTTTCATTCTTCTCGAAGCTTCTTCAATGGAGGTTTGAAGTACTCCATAGCTTCTCCTTGTTTCAACAAATTGTCCCATCATATTACTACGAAATTTGAATTTATATGAAGGTTTATGTAATGGTATACTATTTACATGTTGTGATATTAAAAAACATATTATCGGTGCTAAAACATCAACATGTGATTTTAAAAACAAACATGTATTCATTTCAAGAATTCCACTATTATCGTAAGTGGATGAAAGATTACTAGTTTCTTTTAAACAGAGATAATTTTCAATTAAACTATGCGATGCTATGACTATAAATAAGGCACAAGGTCAAACACTTGATTTTTGTTGCTTACGAAAATCTGTTTTTTTTTCACTCGATCAACTTAATGTTGTTTTATCAAGAGCTAAATGTTCAAACTCTGTTAAATTATTCATTCGTCTGCCCACACCAGCAGCTAACTGTGACGATCGTTGTACACATAATATTGTTTATGACGAAATCATCCAAAGAGTATCCTTGTAAGTCTTCTAGTAGGGATGAAAATGGGGCGGATGCGGGGCGGGTTGGGTTTAAGATTGTGGGGCGCATGTGGGCGCGGATGTTTGAAGTGATCTTTTTAAAGTTAATGTGGGGCGGGGCTGGTTGCGGGTATATGTGATTTTATGCGGGTTCAAACTTAATTTTAACTTCTTACATGTTATAAGAGTGATAAAGCATTATTTATTAAAATAATTTCTTTAAAACTACTAACATATTCAAGATAATAAATGAAAATAATTCAATAATAAATAATATAATTTCTTACATGTTTTATATTTGACCTCTAAAAAATAAAATTTTAAGTTACTATTCTATTAAATTAATACAACTTAATGAAAAAATGAATCTCTTAATTCTTATGATATTTTGTTATCAAACTTAACTAGAAGAAAAATATTTAAAAAATTATGCGAGGCGGGTCTATGTGGAGCGGGGTAAGATGAGTTAAAAATGCAAAAAAAGTTATAATGCGGGCGGCGCGGATTAGGCTCAACTCGCCCCACCTGATTTTCACCCCTATCTTCCACCATCTCAAAATAAAATATGATCAGCTCCACAATATGGAACAAAATTGATATTGGCTACAACTATCCTGCAACTAACTTCTCGGTGAGGAAATTGCACTTTTGCACCTTTAGACTAGAATCTAGATATATTCCTATTTTTGAAATTTTGAGATTTAAACAAATTTATATTTGTATAACTTCTTTACTGACATCAGTTTGTTGTTAGTTTCTACTTTACAACATTCAGTTTACACCAGAGAATTAGGTCGACGAGCAGTCATGATTATTAACATTGCACAACAGGCAAGGTTACGTAAACAGCTTTCACAATTTCACATAATACCCTACATTTCAAATTGCTTTAACTTATTTTTCCATTTATGTGAAACTGATTTTATGTTCTTATTGTAACCTTTTAGGAACAATAATGTACGTTTTTAGAATGGACTTATTTTCTAGCACAAACCAGAAGTAAATTTTAATTTACAATACAGAACTGCTTGAACAATTAAAAAGCATTGAAGAAAAGTGAAATAATAGCACCTATTTCATGATGTTAACTTCTTGACACGCCTATTCTCTTCTTACCTACCCAACTGTTAGGAGGAAGTAAGCCATAATGTTATGAACTTACAACAAAATCATCGAAGGCAAGATTATCATGATCCAATCTAACTGCAGGACCCATGCTTGTGCAGGCTGCTGCCTGCCCTGCCTTATTCTAGTCTTTAATATATCTTCGAGTCTTGTCTTTTTGTCATTCACTATGAAGATGCAAGGTACAAATAAAATTAAAATATATCAAGATATAAGGGTTATTTTAGAAATAAATTAATTTTTTTCATACGTAAATTAAAACTTAACAACTTATTTTTAGAAGTATTTTATTAAAATGACTTTTCAAAAAAGTATAGGATTTTCTTTTTGACTAATTCATTTGAAAAGTGCTTTCGTAAACAATTGAATTTTTTAAAGAAATTCAAATTATAAAAAGCGACAATTATTAATATACTTTTAATAATGAACAACTTTCACAAATAGCAAACATAAAAATCATATTTGTATGTTATAGTTATAGTCTGCATAGTGCGCTATATAGCAAATTTTATGTTTGTTATGGAGCTTTTAGTTTGTATATTTGTTACAAACATTCAATTTTATACAATTGTTTAGTTTTGTATAAATTCATTTATACGTGGTAATTTGTAAAAAAAATCTGAATTTGCATAATTATAAGTGTATATGACGAAAATATATGTATTTGTATATGTATATACACTTTTTCTCTCACTTTATACAAATACGAACGCAAATTATACATTTTATATCGAATTGTATAAAATGATTAATGTATACCGAAAATGTCTAATTGTATACCAAATCAGATGAAAAGAAAAGGGGATGATTGCTGCGAATTACAATTTTAAAATAAACTATGGCTATAGCATTTAATTTAAATTAATAGTTTGTTATTTCATACAATTTTCCCTATAATATATTACAATTCTTTTTAAAATAGAAACCAATTTTAAATATCTATTATAAAAAAAATAATTAAATTAAAATCTACATATTTCAATTTTCAATCAATATTATATTTAACTGTTATTTTTTTCCTTTTTTTTAATTTTGCAAAAATATTGTTTTTACCTTTTTCTTTCCTAATTCTTTAAAATAATATAATATAATATAATTAACAAGATAATATTATATAAACATAAATAAATTATAAAATTTTTATTACATAAAAAAATTCTTAAATGAAATTAAGCAAACTTACGAGATATACTAATTAATGAATAAGAGATATATTGATAAATATGTATATATGAAAAAAAATATTATAATTTAAAAGAAAATAACTTTTTTTCGTTTTGATTTTAGCTCGTTTCTAATAGCAGAATAACTGGTTTAACTTTCATTTAAAATCACTTTTGTTTGTCAAACACTTAATTTTTCCATAAAAATGTTTTACTGGTTTAGCTTTCATTTAAAATCACTTTTACTAATTTATCAAACATTTAATTTTGTCATAAAAATATTTTTTTTGTCAATAAACATTGGGCAACTTTCACATATAGCAAACAAAAATTTCATATTTGTATGCTATAGCAAACTTTGCATAATTGCGCTCCATAGCAAACATAAACTGTATAATTTGCTATATATATACAATTGTATAATTCGCTGGCCTATTTCGCTGCAATTGTATAATTTGTTTTGCATATAGTTGAATCGTATTAAAATGTATGTATATTGCATAATTATAAGTGTATAGCAAGAAGATATATGTTTTTCTTGCTTTATACAAAAACAGAAACACAATGTATACACTTCTGTTGTATAAAACTAGGAAAAATTGTATTTCACTGCAATTGTATAATTCGTTGGCCTTTTTCTCTGCAATATTTGAAGTAAAATGTTTGTAAATAGTATAATTAAGTGTATAACACGAAGATATACATTTTTGCATGTGTATATACAATTTTCTCTCGCTTTATACAAAACAAAAATAGAATTATACACTTCTGAGTACAAAGCGAGAGAGGCGAGCGAGAATGGAGAGTGGCGAGCGAGATTTTTGGGAGAGGGACGCTGACAAATTTTAGCTAATGTTTGCTATGGAGCACAATTAAATCAAACCCTAGCTATTCCATTTAATTTAGGTTATTAGTTTGCTATTATATACAATTTTCCCATAAATATTTCTGAGAGTCCAACATCAATGTCAAACAAGTTATTAATAACTCTCTTTTTTATAGAAGAAAAAGAAGTTACTAATAATAATAATAATAATAATAATAATAATAATATAGGAAATAATATAATATATAATATTGTACATATATATAAATATATATATATATATATATACACACACTATTATTGTTAAATACAATTGTATTTAAAAAGTTAGACAAATGGTTTTAGTGAGGATGTGAAGTAAAGTAATGAGAATTGGGATGGAAAAGGTGTTTTTGTTGGTAACCCTCTTTCCCTTAGATCGCCCATCCTGATGCCTCCCTCAAAGAAAACCAAAGCTAAAAAAAACTCAACCGAATCACCGGCGCCGGCAGTTTCAACTTCCAACTTTCCAGCATGTATTCGTGCCGTTCCTCCTTCCTCCGTCGCCATCACCATCCATGCCAAGCCAGGCTCCAAACAAGCCACCGTAACTGACTTGAATGACGATGCTGTTGGGGTCCAAATTGACGCACCTGCTAAAGATGGTGAAGCTAATGCTGCACTTATCGATTACATAAGCTCCGTAAGTCTTATCTTTTCATTCATTATTCATCTAGGGTAGTATGTGCTTCTACAACATCACTGCAGTTTCATTCAATTTGTTCAGCAGTTTTTCCCCTTAACTTCTCCCCGTTAAACCTAAAATTAATTGTATTGATGTTTCATTTTCTTTTTCCGGAATTGTATTTGGGGATCATGTATGGACATAGAATTATTACTATATGAATTTCGTAACATTCCGGAATTTTAAAAAAATACAAATACCTGTTTTCACATTTTCCATTCTAGATCACTCATAATAATTCAATATTTTTGTTGAAATCCAACCCCAATTTTCAAATACCATGTTTTAACTTTTTTATTTCTTTCTAATTCCACATTTTTTATGTCCAGACGCCCTAGATTTTGTAACGAAAGAGTACCTCACTTATGCTTTATAGCTTAGACAATCAAAACCGTAAAAATATTACTAACCCTGCATCTGAATATCTGTATCAGTTTACACATGAGCTAAAATTGCCAAATAAGTGCTACTACATCAGACCACATTGTGGCTGATGAAGTTCCAGTGTTATCAAAGGTGATAGGTGAAACAAGAGCTAAAGTATCTGTATATCAGAGCTTTAAGCTCAGAGAGCAAACGGAACTCAGAATTTAAAGAGAAAGGCCACGTTGAAGGAAAAAATAAAAAATATGATATGAAATATATATATGTAGTTCAAGAATAATAGTAATAATTGAAACAAGCATTCTATTGGCCAAGGAAATGAAAATTATTAATAAGGTGAATTGTTTTGTGTTTTGTATCGCTCTCTTAAGGTTGGAATCCACGGGCGATGAGGTGCATGTTTTAGCTACTTGGTGCCTGCACTGAAGTTCTGCATAAGTAAGCCATCCTATTTTGCATCTATGTTTAGGGCTTAAGAGCGTTTTAGGCAAGCTTTTGACAGCCTTATGAATAACCAAGCAACGTCTTTGAACCGGGGAGGGGGGCGAGGGCCTTGGCCCTTGGCTGGAAGGTTAGATTTTTGGTGATGGCATACCAATGGAGTTGGAACATAAAACTGGAGAAGTAAACACCGAAAAAATGGATCCACTGCTGGCTAACTTTATCAAGATCCTTGTTGAGTTAAAAATAAAATTAATAATAAGTAAAAATACTTACTACCAGTTTTTTCGAGTTATTAATTAGTACTAGTAATATTTTTCACACAGCATTGTTGAAGGAAACAAAACTACCTAAAGTAATTATATATGGACTAGTAAAGATCCAACAATGGTTATATAGAAGAAATTTATTAATCTATAAAGAAGTGGTACGAAGACAAAGAGGGAAGAGGGTGATGGAATAACCTGTAAGCCACAACTCCAGCGATAGTGACATAGTAATTTGCAAGCCCCAGAGAACTGAATTAAGATTTAGTGTGTTCCATTTAGAGAAGATTTTGGGGTATTACTTTTTGAATGGATTTCCATGAGGTAGAAGTTTCAAAAGAAAGAGAAAAGGGTGAGGGTCGTAGATCTAAAGACATTAGCTGCCGGCTGAAGGACATATCTCAGTTAGCATTTCAAGCAGTTTTCTGTGAGGAAAAGATGAGGATGAAAGTAAAAAATAATTGGGCTTATTGCATAAGAAAAAAATTCTGATGGCAATGTTTACTTGGGCAATGTTTACTTAATACTTATGTGGTAACTTATGTAGATCGTTTATTCTCGGTTCAATGGTTTTATAGGGCTTTTGATTTTCTGAGATACTTAAGAATAGTTGATACTTTTTGGTTACATAATTTAGTTTTATAACTTTCCTGCAATATAAGTTTAGTACGATTACACTAGTAAAAGTAACCCCTTCTGTTTTTCTCGTGGGTGATTTTCATTTTGAGTTGGTTTGTCTTAATAAGGAAGCTGGGAATACTAGTCTCTTCCTTCTTTCTTTGGATCATGGAGAGGGAAGCTACTTGCGAATTGAGGAAGCAAGGATCCTAATTAACTGACATTCTGTCGCCCCCAGGGCTTTGGTCTGGTGGCAAGAGTGTAACAAGCGCACGTCATGAGGTTGACCCTGCCATAGACAAAATCCTGATATTTAAGTGGTAAAGGATAGAGGGGAGCCAATTATACACCGAGTTTTGAACCTTGTGCCGCTGGTACTTGGGGATTTCTCGGATATAAAAAAATGTAAAGTTATCTGCTGATATACCATATATAGATCATGGATGGAGTGAATGTCTTGAGAGGAAAAGAATGGAGTGTTTGTTGAAAGAAAACCCTCAATGAAATTTCTGCGGAGTCCATTTTGATAAAATGAAATTTTGGTTTCATATCCTCTGGGAAAGTAGTCATAGGGAGCTTCTGGTGTCTGATTAACTAGCAATTTGGTAAGACAATTGCTTAGGGAATCCATTTTTATTTATTTTGGTTTTTATCATTCGTATTAACTCTTTACATTTACAAAAGCATCTTTTCTGTTCTTATTTGTTCTTCCATTATCTGGTACCAGCCTCTGATAAACTGCTAAAAGGTGAAAAAGAGAAGTAATTTCCTGCTTTCCTATCACTGTTCGTTTGATATTCCGATATAGACTTGGAAACCAATTACTGAGACAGCCACTTGAAATTGTTTTGGCTAAGATTGTAGCAGACGGGAAATTCTCAGTAGTGTTCAGATGAAAATTAACTCGAATTCCTTGTATACCTGTTACTTGTGTTTAGCATGAACAGAAGCTATGTTTCCTTGGGTAAAATTTGACTTGATTTTGGACAGGTTGTGGGGGTCAAAAAAAGACAAGTTTCTATAGGTTCAGGGTCGAAATCCAGGGATAAGGTCATCATCGTGGAGGATGCTACTTTACAGAGTGTTTTTGATGGTCTAAACAAAGTTTTGAAAGATCAATGACAGAAACTACTGAGCCATGGTATGTTCATGTGGTATTGGACAAGGCACTACTGGATCAAAAGAAAAGAATTTGCTTTGACAAGGCACAACTCAAGATATTCTTGTTAGCAACTCTAAAACATGCATCACCAGACTTGTGATTCTGATTGTGTGTGTTTTAGGGGCCAACTATGCAACTACTAGAGAAGTTCAATTGCGAATGCCAGATTCAGCTTCTCATTCATACCTATCGTTGCATAAAAACACATCGTGTCATTATGTCTTGGTTAAAATGTTTTATGTTTTGACGTGAACAGGTTGATTAGTCAATTAGTATGTCTTAAGCTTTATGGTGGTGAAACAAAAGAACTGCCATTTCAACCAAAAGATTTGTTTCTCAGATGAAATTGCATGTAGATCTATTCTGAAGTACCTAAACTGAAATTGCTAGATTATTTAAATCTATGATATGCTACAAATTTGCACACTTGGCACATAAACAAATAACACAAAAGCTCTTGTTTGTGAATATGTTGTTAAGCTTGCAAATCAGTTTGTGGAGGATTCATAGTAACACGCACGTCCCTTAAGATGTAACGGTTAATATAAATATTTTATTACAATACACATATTAATTAACATTTAGTCTTTGATTTTGAAAAAGAGAAAAGATATAAAGTTATCATTGAAGTTGTTTCGAATTTTTAAAAAGATATCTTAACTTTGCAACCGTCCTATTGCCCCACTAAACAATTTTGAATATGTATAATTACATTATTTTTCGTCTATATGACATAGAGAGTGGTGTGCACTCTCTCAAAGAGAATGAGCAGGCTAAAATAACTAATATGATTTTATTTTTACAAGTATTTTATTATAAAATATATTTTATTATTTTTCTTATTATTATAACATTTTTTCCTTTTAATTTTTTCTCTTTCTTTCTTCTTTCTTTACAAAAATTTATTGTCATCTCCATTCATTTAAACTTCTTACTTTCAATATCACCATTTTTATGACAACTTCACCATCCTTTTTTTTTATTACTATTAGTTTTACTTTCTTTAGTTTTAAAATTTTATCTAAATATTTTTTTATATTTCGAACAATTCGATAAACTCATTAGATTTCATGGTGGTTAGAAAGTATCATATAGTTTTTTTATTCTTTCAATTTTTGAGAAATTAATTGATTCTTTTAAAATTATCATTTCTAATATATATGAAAAATGAGTAGTTGATGGTACCTTCAAAATTTTAAATTTTCTTAAACAATAATTAATTTTGTCCTCAATAATTCAATAAAGTCTAAATAATAGTATGAATTTTATGAAGAATTTGATCGGAGAAGAAGAAGAAAAAGAAAAGAAAAAATGGAAGTGGGTTTCAATTTGATATGGGGTGGAGATAAAGAAAAAAAACGAAATGAAGGGATGAATCACTTGAAAGTAGGAGATGGAAGATGAAATGAAATTTAAGATATATCAAAATTAAAATTCAAAAAGTAAGAAAGAAAGAAAAAGATAAAGGAAAATTTTAAAATGAAAAAAAATACTTTTAATTAAATTAACACGTGTCATGTAATGATTGGGGTGTGAATTCACTTGCTTCTTAAGATTTGGGGCTGATCGAAAAATGATATAATAATATATGTTCAAAATTATTTAGTGAGGTAATAGGACAGTTGCAAAGTTAAAGTTTCTTTATGAAAATCCAAGACAACTTCAATGGTAACTTTTATGTCTTTTCTATTTGAAAAATGATCTGTGAAACAAGTAACTAGTATTTTTTGTACAGTGAATAATTAAAAGTGAATAGAGTAAACGTTGTGGTGGTTCTTCTTGAATGTTCTCCCAATCTACACTTCTCACCTCTAATGATTCAGGGGCGTACATGATCAAAATTGTTCACATTTTTCAAATATCAAATCAAACCATTTGTATAAAAATTTTAAATTTATAAATCAAACCAAATTAATAAAATTTGGATTTTTCTGGTTTTTCAAATACCAAACTAAATCATTGTGTCGAACTTTTAATTTATATATCAAACCAAATAATAAACCTCAAATTTTTTCAGATTTTTGGATTTTTTCGGTAAAGTTTGCATACAAACATATAATTGAATTTTGTTTTAAATATTTCTTTAGTCCAATCAATATACAATTATATAAGGCGTTCCATAAAAAAAAATAACACAAAATATGAAATGAGTATTGATGACACAAAAATACTCAATTAAAAATAATAATGAAATCATCATATAAAATAAATATTGTAAAGTCATAATGAAAATGATCATAATTTAAAAGTACTAAATTATGCTAATATAGGTTTAATAAGTATTAGTTACAATACTAAATATTAAGGAAAATTAAAATTATATTATGTATTTTAATTATCTAAACCAATGGAAAACTAAGAACAGATATTCAATATTATTGTCATTCTTAGTGTTGAATTGTTTTCTTTTTTGCATTAGTATTAATTTGATTTTGATTTTGATTTTATTATAATTATCAACATCTATGAACTAAAATTTTTATTGGACCATCCCGAATTCTATGTTTTAAACTTGAAGTAATATATTAAAAGATAAAACTATGAAATAGTATAAGAAATATTTTAAAACTATATCAAAGTAAATATTTTTTTGTATAAAATAAAATTTTAAAATAACATATATAATGTGGGGTTGATTTTTTTTAGTTAAAATCAAACCAACCTAAATATAGTCGAATTTTTTTTTCAATAGCAAACTAAGTCAAACCAAACCATTAGTCAACTTTTTTTCCGAGTTAACTCAATTTATGATATGTCACTATTTCAACACTCTAAAAACATCTTTTTCACTTTCAATGGGTAATTTGGTGCCCTATGTGTGAGAAAATAATGACAAGTCAATGACTATTGATTTATTAAGAATTTGTATCAAATAACATAGAGTAATTATTTTTCTCGGACTTCAATCTAGTAATAAAAGTTTGATATGTGAGCTAGATGCAATAACCTGATATTTAAATGGAGAAACACACAAAGATGGGTTCATTATGCATTGAGTTCGACTTCGATATCATGCACCATTGAGCCATCAAAAAATTTCGTCTATGAAAAAGTTAGTTAATAGGATTATATTATAAGGGATTATTTGGTAGGTATAGATGTATTAGTATTTACTTTCTTCGTTTATTTTTATTTGTTCATAATTTAATTGGTCACGCCCTTTAAAAAAGCAATAATAAGCATTAGTACCATCTCCAATTATTATAAGTCATTTCACTTATTAAAAAATGAATTTCGAAGAAATTACTTCGTTAGAATTGGAAAATTGTTGTGATTCTTCCTCAATAGCTTGGATTCTTCCGTCAAGAGTCACTTCGAAAATATCACCTAAATTCTTCCGACTAAATGATATTAATGAATTGAAATTAACTAGTATCTAATACTAAGTGTGACAGAGATATATAACGATAAATTCTCTTTTATTTTTTAAAACTAGACAAAAAGAATAAAAAATTATTTTTAATACTCTATGCATGAATTGGTTAAGCACTAGACAAACAAATTTTTGATGAGTCTCTTAGCTATATATAATAACACAACTATATATTTTTTTACTAGATGAGTGAAAATGTGCTACGCACGTCCCAACTTCAACTCTCAAGTTATTTTTAAGCAGTACTTTATTGTTTACTACTGTACTTACTTTGGTCAAATTTAGTTAGTCACCGTACTGAACATAAATTTTCATTTTTATTCCTCGAGTTTTAAAAGTTAAGAGATAAGTAATTCATTATAATTCTTAATTCATTTTTAATATTAAGTAAGTTATTTTTTAAATCATTGATTTTACTTTCATTTTCAAAAAATAATATAATAAAATTATGATTCGATTTATTACTCCTAATCTGCTAATTAAGCTAATATCAAAACAAGCAAAATAGACTAAATGCCCGTTGGATTAACTTACTTTTAGGGTAAAAAAAGGTATCATATCTACTTATGGCTTATTGAAAAATATCTAAAAATAAGTTAATCTAAACGGGCATTGTTTTATGAATGTGTAGTTGTATTTGATTATAGGAAGTAATTAATTATAGGAAAAATGATCAAAAAAAATTTAAACTATTCGAAATAGCTCATATATATCCTTAAACTTTATTTTGACTCATAAGTACCCTTCCAGTTATATTATTGGGTCAAAAAGTATCCTTCTTATTAACGAAGTTGTTAAATGTCACGTGGATGTCATATGAATGCCACATTGCATGCCAATAGGATCCACTGCTACGTAGACTGAATTGAAAGGGTCAAAAATACCCTTAAACTATCCAAAATAGCTCATATTTATCCTTAAACTATATTTCGGCTCAAGACTACCCTTCCCGTCAAGCTGTTGGATCAAAAGTACCCTTCTTATAAATAGAAGTTGTATAATGTCATGTGGATGCCACATTACATGTCAATAAGGTTCCACTGCCACATAGACTAAATCCTTAAATTCTAATTACTTCCCTCCTCATTTCATTATTTCAGAAATGATATATTCACCCGTTCTATCTCATTTCACGGCTAGGGTTTCATACTTTTCTTCGTGGCTGAGTTTCAAAGTCGATATTCATGCTTGTAGATTAGTAAATATTTTTTTCTTATTTTATTATGCTTACGGTTTCAAAGCATGATAGTTAGGATATCACAATTTTCCCCTAATTTCGCAGCTAAGGCTTCGTAGCTTTCTTGGAGGCTGAGTTTTAAAGTAGATATTCATGGTTGTAGGTTAGTAAATATTTTTTCTTATTTTATTATGTTTATGATTTTAAAGTGTGATAGTTAGAATTCACAACTTTTCCGTCATTTCGCGGCCAGGTTCTATAACTTTCTTCGGAGCTGAATTTCAAAGTGGATTTTTCGTGGTTGTAAATACAATAAAATAAGAAAAAAGTTTACTAACCTATAACCACGAATATCCACTTTGAAACCTAGCCACAAAGAAAAGTATGAAACCCTATCCGTAAAATGAGGGAGAACGGGTGAAATCGTTTCTGGAAAATAATGAAATTAGGGGAAAATGAGTAATTAAGATTTAGGAATTTAGTCAATGTGGCACATGTGGAATTTAACAACTTTCATTAATAAGAAGGTCACTTTTAACTCAATAGTTTGACAGAAAGGGTAGTTTTGAGCTGAAATATAGTTTGAGGGTATATATGAGCTATTTCGGATAGTTCAAGCGTACTTTTGACCCTTTTCCTTTTAGTCTATGTGACAGTGGAAATCTATTGGGGTGTCATATGGCTTTCATGTGGCATCCACATGGCATTTAACAATTTTCGTTAATTAGAGGGGCACTTTTGACCCAACAGTTTGACGGGAAGGGTAGTTTTGAGCTAAAATATAGTTTAAGGGTATATATGAGCTATTTCAGATAGTTTAAGGGTATATATGAGCTATTTCAGATAGTTTAAGGGTATTTTTGACCCTTTTCCGTT